TGTGCTACTCCTGTAGGTGGCACTATAACCCTATGGCCAAGACTGAAGAGAAGCTGTGTCCATCAATGAACCAAAGAGAAAATGTTTGTTTTTGTGTATTACTGGTCATCACCATCCTTGGCTTCTACCTACCAGCAACATCTAAAGCAGCTTCACATGAGCTTAATCTACTCCTTCAACATGAAGACGTACAGCCAAGCCGGGTTCATCCATTATACTCACCAGCTTTCTCCGGCTCGTCAGACCCCGTGCCAGCTATGCAGCTACTCTCCAGGCCGAAGGTCGGGTCCACCTTGCCCAGGGCCTTGGCCCCCCAAAAAATATGAATACCGCGAAACCCAGAACCGGTATGCAGGATCACAAGAAAGCCCTGCAGAGTGTATTTTGAATGTCATGTTACCCATCCTCACTGCACGAGACCCTGCTCAGAGAAGGGGAACATCCAGATAGCTATACCGGACAAGCCCCCATTGTCTCAGCAACCGAGGACTGGAGCCAGCACAAAAGTAAAGCCAACAAAGCAGAGGCTAGGCCAAGGGGAGCACCTTAAACTGGGAATGTGTGTCCATGGCCACAAAGCATAAAAAGTGTTGGTGCCCCGCACAGAGCGGGAGGTGCAAGTGCACAGTCCTGACATTATAAATACTGTATAATAATAATAATAATAATAATAATAATAATAATAATAAAGCGCCAATAGTTGGCTCAGCGCTGTACATTACAAAGGGGAACAGAACATGTGACAGAACAATACCAATACAATGCAAAACATGAGGGGATCAAGGGCCCTGCTCTTTCGAGCTTACAATCTAGGAGGGAGGGGGTGGTGGCACAGGAGGAGATAGCTGTGGGGGATGGAGTGGTAGGAAGAGTGGAGGAGGTCGGCAAGTTAGCAGGGGGTGGGGTAGGCTTCCCTGAAGAGATGGGTTTTTTCAGGGTGCGCCTAAAGGAGAGGAGAGTAGGTGATAATCTGATGGGTTGGGGCAGGGAGTTCCAGAGGATGGGTGACACCCTGGAGAAGTCCTGGAGGCGGGCATGGGAGGAGGAGACCAGGGAACTAGAGAGAAGGAGGTCTTGTGAGGAGCGGAGTGTGCGTGTTGGGTCGGTACTTGGATATTAGGTCAGTGATGTAGTTCGGGGCAGTATGGTGGACAGCTTTGTACGTCAGCGTTAGGATTTTGAATTTGATCCGTTGCGCAATCGGAAGCCAGTAGAGGGATTGGCAGAGGGGGGTGGCGGAGACAGTGCGGTTGGAAAGGTGAATGACATCTATGGGCATCAGGAACCCCCCCCCCCTGCAGAATGAGGGCCACCACTGAACGGACAGAGGTCATCTTGCACTCCCTCCCGAACCTGTACAAAGCCTTCAAAAGCCTCAAGGTACTAAATCTGATTTACTCCTTGCTTCTGTGGAAATGGACCAGAATGGGGTAAATATACTTGAAATTTCTCTAGTTCCGGATTCAGGGCCAACATGCCCTGGAAAAGCAGTACCCGCAACTCCCACAATGAACCTGCAGATGAGACAGAGAGATGAGGCTGCAAGGAAAGACTAGGTTGGCCAAGAGTAATTTCACTAAAAAAAACTCCCAAAAAAACAAACACATAGTACGTGGGGCCAACCAGTGGAAACCGCAAAGTCCACGGATCCGCAAATCGATAAGGCGACATCCCACCCGGAAAACAGGTAAGGAAAAACCTTCATGCCAAGAAGGACTCATCTGTGGACTTGGAGGGCTTGCAAGCCCAGGATAGACTATGCCACCAGCAGAAGCCAAGAAGGGCTTGGACCCTCTTGGACTTGCAGCACAGCTCCTCACCAATACTGGAGAACGGGAGACCCGGTAATCTACTCTCCAGAAAGACCCCCGAAAAAAACAAGAAAGGCAAAAAGGGGACACGCAGCCTGGAAGGTTAGACCAGCTAGTGCTTTCATAGACGTCTGGATTGTGGACCAACTTTGGAGCCAGAAAACTAACTTTAGCACCACAGTCGAGACAGAAGCCGGAAGATAATGGTCCATATCCAAGTTGCAGCACAGCCACACCAGAGGTCCAGGACCAGTTCAAGACCGCGGAGCTCAGATAGAGCTGTATTTACCAAGGCCGTGGCATAAGTGCATGCTACTCTGAAGGAATTCGGGTTCACCTGTCATGTCCATCCTGGAGACAGGAGAACCACAACAGGGAGAGGGTCCATTTCCACAGAAGGACCTCCAGAAAAGGGCACAACCTCGGTAAAACATGAGGATCAGCAAGATAACAGTCGCCCCACCGGCAAATACCAGGAAGACACACTGACAACAGGACAGGCCACCAACCCCACCCCGGGCATAACAGAGAGGGAAAACCCCCCCCCCTCTCTAGCTTCCATAGGTGTTTGAAGAAAGGAGACCAGGTCTTGGAGCGAATCACCCAAAGGACATTACCAAAATGGCTGCTGGACTAAGGCCATGTTCAGGTGGCCGCCACCTGAGTCCACGCAGAAGGGACCGCCGGCAGAGGCCCCTCAAAAGCCGCCCCCCCCCCAGCCGAGGCCCCTCAAAAAAGACGGCCCCCCAGCCGAGGTCCCTCAAAAAAACGGCCCCCCAGCCGAGGCCCCTCAAAAAAGACGGCCTCTCAAAAAAGACGGCCCCTCAAAAAAGACGGCCCCTCAAAAAAGACAGCCCCCCCAACCGAGGCCCCTCAAAAAAGACAGCCCCCCCAACCGAGGCCCCTCAAAAAAGACAGCCCCCCCCAACCGAGGCCCCTCAAAAAAGACAGCCCCCCCCACCGAGGCCCCTCAAAAAAGACAGGCCCCCCAGCCGAGGCCCCTCCAAAAAGACAGGCCCCCCCAACCGAGGCCCCTCCAAAAAAGACGGCCCCTCAAAAAAGACGGCCCCCCCCCCAAAAAAGACGGCCCCCCAAAAAGACGGCCCCCCCAACCGAGGCCCCTCCAAAAAGACGACGCCCCCCCCAAACCGAGGCCCCCCCCAAAAAGACGGCCCCCCCCAAAAAAGACGCCCCCCCAAAAAGACGGCCCCCCAACCGAGGTCCCTCAAAAAAGACGGCCCCCCAACCGAGGTCCCTCAAAAGACGGCCCCCCCAACCGAGGCCCCTCAAAAGACGGCCCCCCAACCGAGGCCCCTCAAAGGACGGCCCCCCAAAAGACGGCCCCCAGCTGAGGCCACTCAAAAGCTATGGAACCAGGTCTCCCATAGCAGAGAAGAGGGTTTATACCAGTTAGGCCTGCCTATAGGCTGTGGTCTTTTTCTGCCTAGTGTGCTACTCCTGTAGGTGGCACTATAACCCTATGGCCAAGACTGAAGAGAAGCTGTGTCCATCAATGAACCAAAGAGAAAATGTTTGTTTTTGTGTATTACTGGTCATCACCATCCTTGGCTTCTACCTACCAGCAACATCTAAAGCAGCTTCACATGAGCTTAATCTACTCCTTCAACATGAAGACGTACAGCCAAGCCGGGTTCATCCATTATACTCACCAGCTTTCTCCGGCTCGTCAGACCCCGTGCCAGCTATGCAGCTACTCTCCAGGCCGAAGGTCGGGTCCACCTTGCCCAGGGCCTTGGCGGCTTCTTGTACCTTCTTAATATGAGCCTCCACCAGCTCCAGGGGCACCTCCTCCCGAACGCGGGAAAACTCCTCTGAAATGCATAAATGGACACCATGAGGAACCGGATTCCATAAGACAGCAACACTTCCGTCTACTTCATAGAAATCAGCTCATCAGAAGGTCACCAGCAACGTCTCCTCAGAGATCCTGTGATGGGCTGACCATCCAAGGTGGTCAACCCAGTTTTATTTTCAATATATTTTATTGGGGCGGGGGGTGTGTGTAATGGGCAACATGAGTTTTTCGGTAGGGGCTTAACCACTTCCAGTCCGGACACTTTCCCCTCCCCCCTTCCAGTCCGGACACTTTCCCCTCCCCCCCTTCCAGTCCGGACACTTTCCCCTCCCCCCTTCCAGTCCGGACACTTTCCCCCCCCCCCCCCCCTTTCCAGTCCGGACACTTTCCCCTCCCCCCCCCTTCCAGTCCGGACACTTTCCCCTCCCCCCCCTTCCAGTCCGGACACTTTCCCCTCCCCCCCCTTCCAGTCCGGACACTTTCCCCTCCCCCCCCTTCCAGTCCGGACACTTTCCCCTCCCCCCCCTTCCAGTCCGGACACTTTCCCCTCCCCCCCCTTCCAGTCCGGACACTTTCCCCTCCCCCCCCCTTCCAGTCCGGACACTTTCCCCTCCCCCCCCTTCCAGTCCGGACACTTTCCCCTCCCCCCCCTTCCAGTCCGGACACTTTCCCCTCCCCCCTTCCAGTCCGGACACTTTCCCCCCCCCCCCTTCCAGTCCGGACACTTTCCCTTCCCCCCCTTCCAGTCCGGACACTTTCCCCCCCCTTCCAGTCCGGACACTTTCCCCCCCTTCCAGTCCGGACACTTTCCCCCCTTCCAGTCCGGACACTTTCCCCCCCTTCCAGTCCGGACACTTTCCCCCCAGTCTTCCAGTCCGGACACTTTCCCCCCCTTCCAGTCCGGACACTTTTCAGCTTTCAGCGCTGTCACACTTTGAATGACAATTGCGCGGTCATGCAACACTGTACCCATATGAATTTTTGGTGGTCTTTATTTCACCACTGGGATTTTTTTTTTTTTTTTGTTATATAAATGAAAAAAGTCCAAAAATTTTGAAAAAAAAGTGTTTTTCTTATAAAATTTTGCAAATAAATAATCTTTATAAGTCCTCGCCAAAATGTATTCAGTTTTTCTAGTAAAATAAAAAACCCAAATTAGTTTATAACCAAAAATAATAATTTTTCAAAATTGTTTTTTTTTTTATATATATATATTATTTTTTTTAACATACTGTCACCCTAGCAGTACAGTGTGTGGGGGGGTGATTTTTTTTTTTTTTTTTTTTTTACACTGATTGCTTTTATACCCATAAAGGCTGTAAAATCAATCATTTCTCCTCCTCTCTGGCTGCATTCTTGCAGCCATTGAGAAATACTGTGTGAGCTGTGATTGGTCACAGCTTGTCACATGGTACAAGGCTGTTGTGAATAGTCCTGTACCATGTGATCTCTGTGATCATTCACAGATTTCACACGTAGTAAGCAATGATATCAGAAGTAACATCTTGCTTACTACTGTTCATGTGATCACCGATTGGCCAATCAGTGATCACATGATCGGGACCTCACACAGAGGTTCCGTACAGCGATTGTTCTGGATCGCGGGGCTGCGTGCTCCCAGGGAGCACGCACAATCCAAAATGGTAGGGCGCGGTTTATGAACGGCAACCCGCCCCTGCACTGCCACCGTCTGGCCGTTTATATACAGCAGCCGGACGGCAAGTGGTTAAAGGATAGAGAGGGGAACTCTGTTTCAGCATGCCTTACATCCTTAACATTGAATCAGATACCTTCAATTTTGCTCCTTTGTTTGTTTGCACCCTCAAGTCTCCTGCATCAAGCTGATCGAACGAGGACCCCGGGGGGGGGGGGGCAGGATCAGACCGGGACCCCCCGGGGGGGGGGGGGGGGGGGAAAGGATCAGACCGGGACCGCCCAGGGGGCAGGATCAGACCGGGACCGCCCAGGGGGCAGGATCAGACCGGGACCGCCCAGGGGGCAGGATCAGACCGGGACCGCCCAGGGGGCAGGATCAGACCGGGACCGCCCAGGGGGCAGGATCAGACCGGGGACCGCCCAGGGGGCAGGATCAGACCGGGACCGCCCAGGGGGCAGGATCAGACCGGGACCGCCCAGGGGGCAGGATCAGACCGGGACCGCCCAGGGGGCAGGATCAGACCGGGACCGCCCAGGGGGCAGGATCAGATCATACAAAAGGAATGACATCACTCACCTAGCGCAGCTTTTGCAGCAGCTGCAGCCACCCTGGGATCTACCACCGAGGCCAGGAACGCAACTGTGCTCATGACAGGGTTGCCGGACTGGCTGAAAGGGACTGGCTGATAGGCAAGAGGTCCCAGGGAAGCATTGGAGTTCTCCAGGTACGGGTCCTCGATCGGCAGACGAAGGAAGTGCAGAATACATTCATCCTGAGTTCGGCTGCCCACGTGTTCGGACACCTTGTTCCAGTCATCTTTATACATCTCCAGAGCCTGGGGGGAGGAGACCAGAGAATTGAAACAAATGGCCCAAGACCACAAAAATGGGGCATCAGGTGCTTAGCCACGGCGTCTCACCTCAAGCAGAAGCAGAGTCTCCTGCTCTGTCCATTCCCGCCCAGCGCTGGCCGACTTCTGTAAAGGTGGAAGAAGAGTGTTAGAGAGCCAGCAAATCCCATTAGTACATATAGGTGTTGAATGTGGGATCATCAGCTGCTCTCCTCTACAAGGTACAGGGGGACAATGACACGCATGGGGACTGTAGTAACACGCATGACCAATCACAATAGTACAGCCCCTCTCAACATATAATTAAAAAAAAAATAAATGGCGGAACCCTTAAGAGTTTGTAAAGGCCTTTTTTTTTTTTTTCTTTTAAAAAGTAATAAACATGTTATACTTACCTGATCTGTAATGGTGTTTGTAAAGAGCAACCCCCAAGTGCCTCTTCTGGGGTCCCTTGCCGACCCCCCAAGGGCCTCTTCTCTGTGTGCCACCATAGGAAGCCACTTTCTCTGGAGGCACACCTGTGGGCTTGCTCCTGAGCAGGGCTGTGTGCATCTATACACACACACACAGCAGCACATCATGGCCCTGCCTCCCACTCAGGATTTGACTGACAGCCGCATGAGCCAATGGTTCCCACAGCTGCCTCTCTCTCCTGTGGAGGAGAGAGGGAGACCCCAGCACTGCTGCAGGCGGGCACAACCGCTGCTGCCACTGTTATTAGGTCTAGACTTCATGGTACACCAGAGTGACCTGTACGTTGTAGGTAAAGGAATTAGAATAAAGGTTTCTGTGTGGATACTCAAGGCTACTCCCTAAGGCATTACTTTCATTAATAATCGAGAAATACAAAAAACCCCCAAAAAAAAGATCCCCAAACCAAAGTATAATAGTTACACAGAGAAACCCCCAACAGAGGAAATTGTAGCATTCCCTCATACTGGTATTCAGTGGAAAGTGCCCCCTTACCATTGGAGGTTAGTAATGTAGGACCACCTTTAACATTGGTGCTCAGTGGGAATATCCGTGGGACGACCGCTCCCGTTCTTGGGGGGGGGGGCTCAGCCGGAAGAAGGCTCCCGACCCCCGGGGGGCTCAGCCGGAAGAAGGCTCCCGACCCCGGGGGGCTCAGCCGGAAGAAGGCTCCCGACCCCGGGGGGCTCAGCCGGAAGAAGGCTCCCGACCCCGGGGGGCTCAGCCGGAAGAAGGCTCCCGACCCCCGGGGGGCTCAGCCGGAAGAAGGCTCCCGACAGCGGGGGGCTCAGCCGGAAGAAGGCTCCCGACACCGGGGGGCTCAGCCGGAAGAAGGCTCCCGACACCGGGGGGCTCAGCCGGAAGAAGGCTCCCGACACCGGGGGGCTCAGCCGGAAGAAGGCTCCCGACACCGGGGGGCTCAGCCGGAAGAAGGCTCCCGACATCGGGGGCTCAGCCGGAAGAAGGCTCCCGACATCGGGGGCTCAGCCGGAAGAAGGCTCCCGACATCGGGGGCTCAGCCGGAAGAAGGCTCCCGACATCGGGGGCTCAGCCGGAAGAAGGCTCTCGACATCGGGGGCTCAGCCGGAAGAAGGCTCCCGACATCGGGGGCTCAGCCGGAAGAAGGCTCCCGACATCGGGGGCTCAGCCGGAAGAAGGCTCCCGACATCGGGGGCTCAGCCGGAAGAAGGCCCTTTGCATTGGCCCAGCCCTAATAGCTAAAAAGATCTAGTGTCATGGTCACTCGGAGAGCTCGTAATTGCTCACTGCCCAAGGAACCTCTTCTCAACCTTTGAAGGAACCCCAGTTGAGAAAGGCTGCAGTAGTCAGACGAATCAAAAACCAAATCTTTGTTTCAGGAAACGTGTGACAAGAGCCCCGTTTTGATTCCAGCACTTCTTAGACATTGCTGGGCTCACCTTGGCCAAAGTCTTCTTGGAGTAGAGTTCCGTCCTCAACCCAAAGTTCTGCAGATCTGTTGGTTTGTCTTTACTTTTCTCTGGGAAATTCAACATCTGCTGAGAGGAAGGAATCTAAAAAAAAAAAGATGAAGTGAGCACAACGTTCCGTGTACAAGCCACCGATGAGGAGGTGCCGCAAGCCATGGACCTTACCTGAGGAGTCCTCATGTGTAGAGGGACCAGTCCAGACGGTGTGTCCGCCAACACGTTAAAGTGAGGCGTAGGAGGGGGGGCCCATAGCCATCGGCCGGGAATCTGCATCCACCTGGTAGTTCACCAGACCCCACTGCTCCAGGAATGCATGAACTCTACAACCGGGAAGAGACGCATGTCACCGACAGACAAGAATGTCACAGCTGCTGCCTTCAATCTGAAACCCACACCAGCTACGATAGATCGCATATGTACACACCTCCCAATAAAGAGTAAACTCAACTCAAATGGGAAGTCAAGAAAACGTCTAGCATTGCAAAACATGACAAAAACCTAAATTCCACCATTCTATATACACTTGGCCCTACTCCCGTCTTTGGCTGGCTGATATAGCTATAGCATGAGCGTGCCAACACTTTCCACAGCCTACAGCTCTGCAGACTTCAAGCCACTGCCCCGCCATTTTCTGGTCTTGGACTTCTGCACTGATGCCCACCCATCATTCTATTAACTTCTTGCCGAGCAGCCACTGTAGAAATACGGTGGCAGGTCGGCACGGCTGGGGCAAAACCACGTTTTAAAACGTGCTTTTGCAAAACGGGTAGGGGGCGCGCGCGAGGCGCGCTACCGCCCTACCTGCACCGGCGATCCCGGCCGCGGGTGTCAGTCGCCGGGTCACGGCCGGTCATTACCGGCCGTGTCCCGCCGATTAGCGGCAATCACTGACAGAAAACAGGGCTGTAGTAGCTCTGCTTTCTGTCAGTACCCTGTCAGCTCCTGACAGGCTGATCCGGAGAGAAGAGTTTATCTCTCCCGATCAGCGTGTCCCTCTGCAGTACACCTCCCCCGCCCCCTAGTAAAAACACTCCCCCCTCACACAGTTAACCCTTTCAGTGAATAAAAAAGTTAACCCCTTCCTCCCCAGTGCCATTAGTACAGTGTCAGTGGTTTTTTTTTTTTTGCACTGATTACTGTATTGGTGTCACTGGGGATGTCAGTGACCCCAAGTCAGTTCCCCCCAATGTCAGAATGTCTGCCGCAGTCCTGCCATAAGTCGCTGATCGCCGCCATTATTAGTATAAAAAAAAATTAAAAATCTGAGTATCTTTCCCGCCATTTGTAAACGCTATAAACTTTCACGTAAACCGATTAATTTACACGTATTGTTTTTTTTTTTTTTTTAGCAAAGACATGTCGCAGAATACATTTTGGCCGAAATGTATGACGAAATTTGATTTTTAATCTTTTTTTACTGGACAGGTTTTATAGCAAAAAGTCCAAAATGTTTTTTTTCTCTCAAAATTGTCAGCCTTTTTTATAGCGCAAAAAATAAAAAAAACGCACAGGCCATCAAATACCACCGAAAGAAAGCTCTATTTGTGGGAAAAAAGGACATAAATTTTATTTATGGACCGTATTGCATGACTGCGCAATTGTTCGTTAAACTAGCGCAGCGCTGTATAGCACAAAAATGGTGTAAATTGCAGTATCTATACCATAGTTTGTAGACGCTATAACTTCCACACAAAGCAATCAATATACACTTATTGGGATTTTTTTTTACCAAAAACATGGAGCAGAATACATTTTGGCCTAAATTTATAACCAACTTTGAGTTTACTATATATTATTTATAGCTGAAAGTAAAAAAATATTGTTTTTCTTCAAAATATTTGTTTTTTTTTTTTTTTTTTTATAGCATGAAAAATAAAAAGCGCACAGGTGATCAAATACCACCAAAAGAAAGCTCTATTTCTGTGAAAAAAAGGATGTAAATTTCGTTTGGGTGCAGCATTGCATGACCGCGCAATTATCAGTTGAATTAGTGCAGCGCTGAGTAGCAAAAAGAGGCGTGGTCATTAAGGGGAGGGGGGGTAAATCCTCAGGAGGGCGAGGGGTTAAAGGGATTCTAAAAACGTATATTTTTTTTTTCTTTAAGGATAAGAGCGAACACGAA